GGGGAGGGACCGAGAGGCTGAGCCAGTGCGGGGCCCTCCGGAGCGGGGCTGGCCCCGGCCCATCCGCGTTGCAGACGGAGCCGCGGCCCGCCCTTCCTCCTCCTGCCCTTCCTCCCGCCCTAATAATCCTGCGAAAGGATCCCAAAGTTGGGTTCTGAATCTACATTAAGTCAGTGAACCCCATTTAACCCTCTCGGGCAGGTACCTGGTGATCTCATGGGACCAGGAGCTCACCAGGTTACAGAAAAAACAAGGATGTTTAGATGCCTGATAATACGCTTTTGGATCCCGGTGCTGGATACCTGTTCTAGGAAGTCTTGGCTTTAGAGCAAACGTCAAGATTTAGGTTGCACTGCACGCCACTCAGAGAGGACCACTGTTTGTTAATTGCTCTTGAATCGCTCAGCTTTCTCTAAATCACACTAGACAATTAGGAAGAAATAAGGAAACATTAATATTTTCATTTGTTATGTTCAAGCTTTACCACTTTCCTCCGCAGGAACAGTTGAAAGGACACTTTCAATATTGTGCTCGGATCTAATTTTAACCCTGACAAACTTGGGGCATTTAATTGAGTTTAGATTTTTGAAACCTCTTGGCCGGGGAAGGGAGAGCTCAAACTTTGTCAAAGGTTTATGAATACAGTGAGGCAGTAATAAACTTGCCAAAGAAATGGGTGTGTGCTAAGCACCCCAATGCAAACAGAAGAGAACCCTATTTCTGCACATTTGGTTGGTTTAGTTTGTATTTTTCCCCCTTATTTCCAGGTTCTTCAAGAGCAGCTACATGCAGTTGCCAGCTTCCCTCCATGTGGTGCCCCAGCATGCCTTGTGCTGGTGGTGCCACACATACCATTCATCTGCCCTGGAGAATGGAGCCTACCTCCAGGGTAAGGCAACAGGCACAGCCCCAGAGGCCTGGCTCCTGCGGGCTCAGCAGCAGTGCTCTGGGGGAGGGAGTGCAGATTGCAAACCTGCTCCCCTTCCAAGTGTCCATGCTTCCATTTAAGTGGGCTTGCTCTTTTGTTTCCAATCAGATGCCCAGGGCATCCCACGCATAGTTCTGACTTAAGCCTCAGTCCTCCCTTTGAAAAGCCTGCTCTGAAATGCAGAGAGGGAGGGTTGGATTTGGCATTAAAAAAACCTTAATACAAAATCCAGACTTGGGATAAAATAATCTGGGTGCTCACCTTTCTTCAGCAACAGTAAGTAGTTTTCTAAACTTTTTATTGTTCTTAATAATTTCCAGTCCTGTGGGCCAGTAGGCCAGGGATACTGCAAAGAAAGGTTTAGGAAACAGTACACAACTGAGGAAAAAAACTGGGCACACGTACCTTCCTTCTGAGGCAGGCTCTGGTTTTTATTGCTGATGAATGATGGGTGTGATGCCCTGCAGACTGCCTAAGTGAGCACTGCATGAAGGGGAGCTGGAGACTCTTAGGTAGTTGTAAGACTTTAGCATTGGCATAAAGTACTAGCAACTCCATGATTTCTTCCGTGTGCTTCAGACAGATGCACTTGTATACAATATGCTTTTCCCAAAGACTGAACAGGTTCACAGCAAAACCTGTTTTGCTGTGTTCTAATGGTGAGCTGCTCAGCTGTCACTGCCAGCTTATCCTGCAACAGTAGCATCTGAGAACTGGAGAGACTGAAGGGAAGAATTGGAGCCCCAGGCAGAAAAAGCGTGCAAGGGCTCATGGTCCAAGGCAATTCTAGCTCATGGTACCAGTACTGTGACAGAAGGTGAAGTTGGTTTAACAATAATTATGTTTCAAAGCTACATATTCCTTGGGGTCTGCATACTTAGCTTTTAGAGATGTTGTGTTGTGCTAGCCACATTTAGTCTTTTCTGGACAACTCGCACAGACTGGAAGTCCTTTTAGGAATAAAAGCTGAGATTTTCAGAAAGTTACAGGAATTTGGGCCTGTAAGAGAAACATAAATTCTTGGAAGTATTGGCAGCACTGCATTATGGCTTCTCCAAATATGTGTCTGCTTAGATGAGCTGATGGACTTGAACTCAATGGTCTGTAGCAGGAGCTATGACAACCCTCCATAGGAAGGGACTTTCGAAGTTTAGAGGTATATAAAAACACCTTTTACCTGTAAAAGCCTGTATATTTGCAGTGCTAGTTTGATTTAGAACATCTGTAGAAATCTACCAGGCAAAGATATTACTTCCCAGATCTTGTTCCTGCACTATAACATAGTGCTTGAAGAACTGAACTACTTACAATTTGTGGACTAAGAAATAGTTGCATAATTCTTAGATAATGTAGTATATTTTGGTATATAATGCTGCATAATGATATGTTTCTAAGTTGTTTAACCTGGCTGAACATAGTAATGAAAAATAGTTATGTTCTTCTTTATCTTCTTCCATTCCTGTTCCACTTGAGTGTGTTCACAGAAATTTTTCTTTTCTTAACTTTTGCAAAAAAAATGGATGATGCCGGGGGGGG